ACAAGTAATGGTTTACCGCTGATTCGAAAATATGGGATATTTTAGGTTCACAAAGAGAGCCATAGGAGAACTCATCATAGATTCCGCATAAATTGGAAGTTCTCTAACACGAAACATCGAGTTCTACCTACGGCCTATTGTTCTCAGAACTGTCCTCATTCTAATTCCGCCCGAATTCTGAACTGCATATTCTCGTAAATCAAAAATTCCAAATTTCTGGAATTTTACAGTAGCAGAAATCTTCGTGATGCTCGATTTGAAATTTCTAGAAATTTTTGCGACATTCTGAATATTTAGGAGTTTTCTTCGAATACCACACCTCTCAATCTTGTTGCTTCATTCAATCACAATGTTCACCAACGCCCTCCCCTTCCCACGGCGGCTGAGTCGAATTCAAAGAAGGCTGCCAAATATCCAGCAATATCACATGAATATTATATGAAAGCTTCTTTCGACTTAATTCGTGTATTGCAATGAAATTTCGTCCGAACCGGAATTACCTGTAGAATTCTGTCGTTTTTGTAGGTGATGTTAACAGACAGATAGACAAAAAGAACGACAGACAGACAATGTGAATTTGTATTTAGGGTTGTAAAACCATTATCGTTCAGTCAATGGAAAATGTCAGTGTTTTTCCATAATAGAAAACCTTTCTGCAGTTTTTGAAACAAACTATGTCATTTTGTATAGCTCGTTGAGCTCTATTGGGACCAAGAAAGCAAAATCTACCGTTCAAAGTATCTGCATCGATAGCCTCGTATTACTTTATTGTCATCAATGTTTATCAAAGTTAATATTTCATTCAAAGTATGGGTGCATATATGCTTATGATTCGAATAGAAAACAAGTTGCAACATAGGACTAAAAGTTAGATTTAAATATATTTTTGTTCGAGTGCCAAAAGATTATGAGAAAAGTCTCATCTTGGCGTCAGAAACACAATAAAATAAAAACTTCTGAACTCTTTCAACACCAGAAGGCTCTTATTATACTCTTCTTAGTTTCACCTAACTGTTGCCACATAATGAGGTTGTTCTGGAAGTGAATGACGGTTCTATGATTGAATCAGTTAAAAACTGAAAAAAGTCATCTCATTGTTGTATATATTTGGATTCTGGCCGCCGGACAATTAGAAGAAAAATATTCCCAGACGAAAAGTTTTCATTTAGCTTTCTGGCCATTTCTTTTTTGTCCACTAATTCAGCCAGCAATTGTTTATGAACAGACTTGGTGGGATCTTCAACTAAAACTTCATGAACATCAGTATTCAATTTATCTTTTGTTTTCTTAATATAACCTTCTATATTGAGAACTTCATTTTTCTTGTCAGAAGGAACTACGATTGTTTCTTTCATCCAGTTCTAGTGTCTTATTAGATCCTCGGTAGACTTTTTCTTTAGTATGCACTACAACATTTTACTTCCAAAGTCTCTTAACCGCACTAACTGTGTTTTCTCGTTCAGACAATAGTTTCTCGCTTCAACTCAGCACTTCGCTACGTAACCAATAGTGTTAAACTGCTACTCTTCTTGCACTCACTTTTCACGAAACTATGTTTGACAAATGAAAACAGTCTGCTGATTTCCTTTGTACAGCTGCACAAGTTCATGAAACAAAAACACAAAACTTTTCCTGTGAAGCCGGATATTCGCGGCACGAGTTTCATCACTCAGCTCTGCTTTGCCTAACGTTATTCTTAGTGGAAGCTAAAAGACGAATGGTTTGAGCAGAGGGGAAAGAAATTTCGTGCAGTGTTTTGTATGGACATTGCACCACATAGTCAAACTATTTCGTCATCATTTTCTCCGTTCTGTTTTACGCATGTGCTCACATCTTTTATTTATAGTATACGTTGGTAGCCTTTCTCTCTATTTATATTCCGCTAGAAAATCTTAAGCTCGGACAAAAAGTAGCAGCGAGTAGTTTCGATCTACCGACCTCTGAGTTATGAGCCCAGCACGCTTCCACTGCGCCACGCTGCTCTGCTTGCAATTGGACCAATACTGTCAACTGTCATTAATGCCGTTTTCGTTACTTTGCACAAAAAAGAGTGTATGCAGCTGTACAAAGCGAAACAACAGATTGTTTTCATTTTGTCAAACACAGTTCGGTGAAAAGAGCGTGCAAAGTGAGTAGTATATTGATTATCTTTTCGAGGGCTTTTATTGACAAGTAGTGTTCGTCTGACGATTCACATAGCCCATTGACTGTAAGTAGCTTGCAGTTGATTGCTTTACACTGTCTCAAGTTTCCATGGATCACAGGTAAAGTGGCGTTGTCTGGCGATCCTCATGAGCTCTAGCGGGATGAGAGGTGTCACACGCGTGAAATCAGACAGAATATAAGCGTTAAAGTACAAAATTACCGATAGAATTGTACGAAAATCTATAGATATTCTATTCTATGTGGTGTGAGAAAAGCGCAAAACAAATCAATAGTTTTTTCTAGAATTCGAAGAAATCCATTGAATTCTATAGAAGTTTGTCAGTTTTGTAGACAATGTTAGCACACGGATAGACAAGACACATTTATATTTAGGGAAATAAGACTGTACATTGTCTTTCAGTCAATGGAAAACAAGTAATGGTTTACCGCTGATTCGAAAATATGGGATATTTTAGGTTCACAAAGAGAGCCATAGGAGAACTCATCATAGATTCCGCATAAATTGGAAGTTCTCTAACACGAAACATCGAGTTCTACGTACGGCCTATTGTTGGATGACGGATGTGTATGTTTTGATGTTTTGACTTGTTGAGCGTGAAGTTGATTTGATGTTACAAACTCGGCTAGCCGCAGGACAGAGTCGCTCTTATTCAATGAAAGTCTATCCTGGAGTGAAACTCTGCTGTGATAAATTTGTAAATTTATAAGAAAGTGTTGGAAATTTAGTTCGCATTAGTCTTTATAATTATTTATATTAGTTTTGCGTGCAGGAATTCGTTCAGATTAATTTTAGATTTGAAATGAATGTTAGCAGATGTTGTCTGAATCAATTTAAATAAATTAGTTATTACAATTTAATTGAAATTAATTTGCGAGCAGAAATCAACAGATTAATGTTGTTTAACGCATCTCAAAGAAGTTTGGGTCTGTAAGTTGATTCAAACTGATTTTCAGTATCAAATTGATGTATGTAGCGAGTACTCAAGTGGAATACGAGTTTCGAAAATTATTAGAAAAGCGTAAAATAATACAACAAGATGAATTAATCGATGATATTAATGATAACAACAGCACTAGCGTATGTATCTTGATTATGATAATGATGAACCTATGCATATAGATGAATTAGCTACCTTCTATTTTTAATCAATTTTCCATTGACATTTTTAATGGCCATAGAGAGAAAAGATTTTCTTCAGATTTTAATGAATGAGGGTGAAGGTTGAGTTACACTTATAGGTTAACACTTTCTGCCACGCGATATATCCTAGCGCTTCGTTCTTCAAATTTAAAAACTATGTGTTATCTTCGGCAGGTACTAACAAGGGTACTATTATTCATTCAATAGCACAATACATCGTTATTCCTGTGTCGAAACGAAAATCTTTTGTCGTTATTTAAATTTTTGTGTTGTAAGAAAAATTATGGAAAGGAAGCGGTGCCTTTCGGTGCAGTTTTTGTTTGAGCGAAAGTGATTTAGAAGCTCGCACGGTCAGGTGTTGTAGTATGCTCGGTCCTCTATCTAATGGTGTGTTGACGACGACGACCGAGAAAATCACTTGTATGAGAACGAAATAATTCCTAGAAGTCGGGTTTGTTTTAAATTGAAGAAGAATGTTGGTTCTAATTATGTAAAAAGTTTGAGCTCTTTATCTTATATAATTGCCGAGATATGAGCAACACAAAGTTGTCAATATGAGAGATGTCGCATTTTCAAAAGTTGATTGAATTTTTAAAATGCTCGTTTCTCAGCAACCCAGAAATATTTTTTCAAACGGAAAACGCCATTTTACTCAAAAATGTCTATACTTTCTTTTATGACTGATTTGAACGAGTTCTGTGACATATGTTTGAGCAGTGTTCTATGTGGAGTAGTCGCCGCTTATGTGAAATGGCTCTTAAGTAGAAATTTATCATTGGTTTCTGAGAAATAAGTCTGATTCTTGCAAATTGGGCTGAGCACGTTGCACCATTTCCTCTTGTCTCTATGTTTTAACTCGAATAAAACCAAGCTCATCTTGTCGTACTTCACGTTGTCTACGTCGATAATTAACAAAATATGATAGTGACCAAAGTGTTAAAATCAATGTAAGCATTTGTCCAATAATAAAACCATATGATGAATAGGAATTAATTGTCATAAACATCATTACATTAATAAGTGAATAGACCATTGAGATGAGACCGGCAAAGACTGAAAGTAGTGAGTGATTTCAGATATCTGTTGTAGAAAAAAAACAGAACAACTCTCCGTATACTTACGAAATAAAACAACGAGCAAAAGTGAAAGACCGTTCGAACAACAACAACAATTCCACATTGATAGAGCTGTTGAAATACCAACAAAAATAACACCAATTAAACATGGAATAGCCATTTTTTCTTCTGTGGTGCAAAGAAAGAAACAGAAATTCACGTTAGCAGAAGTTGTCCTTTGCATAAAGTTTGGCAGATTCTTATGTTTGTCGAATGGCAAATACCTGACAGTGGCAGAACTTTCACTCGATAGAATCTGCAAAAATAAATTTGCCTCCGTAATATATCTCTCCGTTTTTGGTCAAAATCTGTTTTTTTGGCAAAAAGTATGGAACACTTTATTCTAATGTCAAAGGTCCAAACTTTGAGAGACGCATTTCACATGAACTTTTGAAAAGACTCGAAATACGTGCAGCCCTCTATTTTTACTTAGAACTGGCTCTAAACCGTAAACAGATCACCTGGAGAGTTTCTATTTTTTTTTCAAAGTCAAGCTCAAATACATTCGCACCTACCAGTTGGTATAGCAGTAATTGCAACGGCTAATTGATTATTACCCAATAATTTCACACGTATATCTTCATTCATTGCACAGTGTTCACTAATTTTACCATTTAAAGCTTCATTCACTTCTGTTTTCAGATCTCCAACACCAGCATACAGACACGAATAAATAATTCCAGTGTAAAATTTAATTTCGAATGGAATTTTTCTTGTAAAGAAATCAGCAGCATTTTGAATAATAGGAAACGTACGACCAAGTGTACCTAGAAAGAAAAGTAAAGAAAACGAGCTGCATGTTAACTTAGAAAGAAAAGTGTTTATAGTGTCAAACAGAAATTTGTAAGCATAGAGAACGCTCGCGAGATGAGTATTTCGAACAAATCCTGAACTTGCACACTCAGCCAACATTTGTCCGAGAAGTCTATCAACATTTCAAAAACTTTCACTTTTCGACCTTTTCAGAAGAAGAAATCTCGTCATTTTCATCTTACCTAAATCATTTGATATTTTTTCAATAATTGGTGTTGTACGCCAAAATGGTGTTCCTACACAGGCACAAAGCCATAGTGTTGTAAAAAATAAAACGGCCGTAATTAAACAGTATCTGCACGACATTATATCAATTCACTTCTACAAAAGAAAGATAATTAGATATTTTTTGTCTCTATCTGTGTGTTTTATGAGACTGTAGTAGTTTAAGAAAAGAAAAAAGTGATTATGTTTCTTTATTCTTCTTTCCTTAGCTTGTGTAGTCTATCTATATATAAACAACTAACACTTCAAGAAATGAAAGAAGACAGAATGTAAACAGGAATGACTAAGATTCCTTCGTTCATACCATGGACGGTGCCGATGCCGATACTCTTATTCATCAGAAGAAGAAGAAGAAAATGTTACATCGGTATCTTGTTCGTGTCAGTGTTATATGCCACTATCTTTATTTTCCATTCCTTTTTCATTTCATTCAATAACAAAAAAAATACGTGTCCTGTCAAAAATTTAGAATATTTTGGAAATTATTAATTTGTGTTTTCGATGTGCATAAAATGAAACGTAGATTGCTATGGTATTACTCGCACTTATGATGATGGTAAAAAACTCCCTCTAGATTTGATTTGCCTTTTCTAGAAAAAAAATCAGCTTTTATCATCGAGAACATCATAATATACACAGAGAGAGAGGCAGAGAGAGAAATACTGTCTGTAACTCAGTGACGATGACGACCGAGAAAATCTCTACCTTCAAAACTCTCAAGCTTGCTGTTTTTCGGCCACAACAACAGAAACCTTACATTACAGTTAGTGTGTATCGTACATTTTCTGACACCGATGATTCAAAACCTATATCTGATAGAAAAAATACTACAGAACTTTGGTCACATCTATCGAGGGTATGATAAAGGAATTCCTAAGTTTAATTGTATTCGAATATAAACTACGGTTTTGGTAGAAAAGAAGTAATTCTTTAGTAATGAAGAACAGCAAGAAAAACAATATTTCGCCAAAAGGTAAATTGTGTTTCACAATCCACTGATCTTCTATGAAGTTCTACTTTGTCTTAATTATTTTTCCATAATAAAAGGTTTCCTCTTCACTAAATATAATCATGGTTGTCACGCAGTCATCGAACATACTGACACACGAAGTGACCCTGGAGTCATAAGAAAGTATCCGACCTCATGGGTAATTTGCGCTTCCAGCAAATCCATATTTCGCAATTTTTATTTCAAAAGTTATTCTTACACTTCTATGCACTTCAAACAGTTCCACACATCTGATACATTTTCATACATCTCCATACATTTTCATAGATCTGATACATTTCCAGTTGTTTCACAATTTCCGAAAAGACTGAAAATGGATTGATTAGTACTAATTTTGGATTTCAATCAAGGACACGCACTTCAAGAAATGTTTTCTATTGATATCTTAATAAAAATGAAAGAACATCATTGCGAAAAGTGTGAAGTACATGCATAGTCTAACTTATTGTAATAGTGACAGAAACCAGTATTTTACACGAAATTGAAAATCAGCGAAAATTTTTGAACCATATATCATTCGACGCTGACTCCGAATATGTTGTTTTTTTATTGCATAAAATGCGTTCTGCTGCAAGAAATTGAAAAGTACAGCCATAATTCTCACTTTTGGCCCCTGATTTAGGAAAAGTTTGAATATTTTTGTTAAAAACGTGCAGTAAGCTGATTGAAAGTAAGATATTCGTGATCAGCGTGAAAAGCTGCATCGAACGGTGTATTTTTAATTTAAAAATAAAATAGCGTTTTACGTTTGAATTTAGAGCGCCTTACTCTTTACCTTCTAACACAAAAACCGCAATAGACATTCTCAACAATAAATAAGTGCTATAGTTTTTGCATTATTAGCTTTGTAATCGTTTTTAACAATTTTGTTTTCCATTCTTGAAAATGAGTTCATGTGAACTCGAAACGTCGACAGAAAAGAAATTTATTGAAACCGCTGTAAAGGCAACTTCTACTAATTCAATATGCATGTTTGGTTATGAAACATGGCAAAGAAAACTGTGCAGATATATCCACGATAGAAAAGAAGAGCAAGTCGGAGGTAGAGATCTAGTGGTTTTATTTGCCTCATCTTTTTTATGAATTAAAATAATGTTTCACGGGCCTTAAGTAATCATTCTGATATTGTTGTTTTTCTCCATCTATACCGTTGGCCGTTTTAATAAAATTTTCTGTCGCAAAAAACTTTATCGTCCCACTTCAGACATTTACGACCATCAATAGTAGTATATTCAAAGCATTTAAATAATTTTCTTAGTTTTGGATAGTTCAACTCTTCTTTTAATGCTTTTTCTTTAAAATTTTATTCAAAGGCAGAAGCAAAATTTCAGGACTTCTTTTGCCGAAGGCATTTCTTTTACAACAGCAATCTCACTATGTTGCATTTCTTCTATTTCTTCTTGATTTTCCTGATCACAATCAAAATCGGTATTTATAGTTAGTACATTTTTGAGGAAGTTTGTTATCTATTCTTTCTACTGTTCTTTTCATTTCTAGTCTACCAATCTCCTTTAAATTTTGTTGAATTTCTCTAATAAATAATGGTAAAAGATGGTCTTCGTTGCTTAAGCCTAGGCGGCTGTTCTCAATTTATGACTTCGTAGCTGTCCACGGATCCAGTTGGACCCGTCATAGGAAAGAACGGAAAGATTCGATGTTTTTCGCCTTTGGCTTATAGTTTTCATGCATGAACCATGGAAGTTCTCATCCCGCTATTTAATCTGCTTATGATTTCGTCCATGAATATGTCATTATATGTAACAGCATATGCAAGCTTAAGAGACTGAAAGTATAGATCTTTCAGAAGCTTTATAACACCAAAATCGTGAAATATGATTGTAAGAATCATATATCTGATTACTCCGGCATATGCTGATAAATGTACCTACGTATACGTAAGAATAGCTTGAAGGCACATAGGACCGATTGAACTGCGGTACTGGAACCTGGCCTGATCTTCATGTTTTCGGCACGTATACGACCTCGCATTGATGTTTGATTTCTAGACTACGTCACACTCGCCTTCTCATTGCTTCCAGTTGAGGATTTTCACTTAGATCTAACACACATTACAGTCGATGGAAAGCTAATAAAATGTTGTCTTTTGTAACGGGTGTTCCAGAATAAATCGGTCACTTAGTATTTTGCTCATATCTTAATTGGATTTTATCCCCTAAACTTTGTTGTTTTCTGAAAAGATGTATCGTAAAATTCTCTACAAAAAATATATTAAACATTTTTCTATATATCGTAAAGAGAAAAGAATATCGAAGAAATACTGCGAAGCTTCGATCTCGATTACTTTGCAACTCAAAAAACAATTTTTTCAA